GCGAGTATCCTGGCCACAGGACACGGGACGTGGGACAAACTCACCCAGCCAGGATGCTGGATTCACAACGCGTCGTACACGCAATTGACCTAATTTAACGTCCCTCTCAGTTACCCCCCGTTCCGTTTCCCATCCAATGTCCCGGTAATGGTCGACGTTTAGCTTTGGGTCCTGGTTTGCCGCCAGGATGCATCGCGATGGGCGACAGGATGTGCAGCTTGCCGCCTCACAGGATGCACTTTACCCAATATTGTATTTCCCGCTCATATTTTTCTCATTTCTCGCATGTCTATGTGTTAGTTTCAAAAATTCACAGCATATTTCAAGGGGAAGTGTAGTTTTTGTTTTATATCTCCTTCACCTCCCGCACAACCTCTCTGCAGTGCCAACATTTTGCTACCTTTCCACCCATAAATATAAATCCAGGTGGCTGTGTTTTTTTTATACATATTTTGTTTTTATTTTATGCCTTACATAATTAAGTTCTTGTCGATGGTAAAGTTTGTGACATTTTGCTGGCTGGCTGGTTGGCTGGCGGGCTGGTTGGCAACTTTTGGCTCAAAATCTGCACATGGCTTCAAATTAATTTCATCGCATCAAGGACACATGACTAAAACAAGAAGCCAACACTTGTTCCAGTGTGTTGCAGGATGTTTTTAGAACGTGTTAATTAGGTGAATTTCTGAGTTGGATTTTCGTCACTCCAACCAAATTAAAACCACACAAAAAAAAGCCAAAAAAGGCAAGCGTGAGTGCAACCTTGAACTAGGAGGAAATTGCTAACAAATTTGGAGAACCACAGGTGGTGCATTGAAGCTTAAAGTTAATCCACCAAGTAATTGGAGGAAAGTCGATGAAGAACATAACAAAACAACCACGAAAATAAACTACAGGGTCACAAGTACTTGAATGTATGGGAGATTCAATGTTAACCAAAAATTATAAAATTTTTGTGAATACCTCAAACTAATTTGATATCTATTCTCCATCAATCTGCATCAAAATCTTGTGACAAATATTTTTTTAAACATAATGTCTTATTTTAAAATATTAAAAACGCAATAGGAGCAGAGTTTGACGCTCTGCAGAGGTTATAACTTTGCCAATATTGATCCGATTCTTAAGCGGAATACCTCAAACGATTTCTTGATCGATTCTGCACCAATCTGCGTTCAAATCCCTAAACAAATATTTTTTCAGATTTTTTGTCAAATTTCCAGGGTCATCACTTCACTTCAAAATGTGGAAAATTAATTGGGGCACAATATGGCCCTCTGCAAAAGCTATAACTTTGCCAATATTTCTCCGATTCTTAAGGGGAATAGCTCAAACGACTCCTTGATCGATTCTGCACTAATCTGCATTCAAATCAACAAACAAATATTTTTTCAGATTTTTTGTCAAATTTTCGGGGGATCTCCTTCAAAACGTAGAAACTTAATGAAGAGCTCAATATAAACTCAAAAGCAATAATGTCATCGGAAGTTTTTGCGGAATACCTTAAATTATTTTTATTTTAATTGATAGTCTCATTCCTAATCCTATGAAGATTTTCTTTAGTTAAAGCTAATTTTATAGGACCTCTATGACTAACTGTCGAATGAGCAAGCTACCTCGAATAAATCCCCAAAAGCAATCCCTATTTATTTCCCAATCGCCGCGATACATATTTCCTGTTATCGCAACCCTACAAGCATGTCATACTAAAGACCCTAAAGCACCTCCAACTAAGCTTCGAACACTAATTAACTTAATCGAAAACAATAACTATAAATTGTAGTCTAACTATCTCGTGAATGCCGGGCCTTTGATTGGATCGAAGTGGACCCGAAAGTAAAACCGAAGCAGAATTTATGCTCTAATCAAGTTTAACAACTCGGAATGGAAATTGCAGAGGCCAGCCACCCCCGTACAACTACAAACGGTCTATATTGATTTATAAAATTTCAGAAATTCCGCTGGAATCAGCAGCAAACAAACTTCTTATGATCAAACTTTTATGCACTGGCACATAATTCCAAGAGCCTACAACTATCTAAGATGCCACCCACCGCACAACGCCCACCACCCGTCGCTTCCCGACCCCCTCAAGGCCGCTCTAATTGCATTTAATTAGCTGGCAAGTTGGCCTGGTTTTTCTCCACCCGGCTCTCCCTTTTTCCATCTTCTGTCACGCTGAAAAGTTGACCGACATAAATTTCATTAATTAGTTGAAAATTTGCCCCGGCACTTTTGTGTGAAACAATTTTTGAAGATTTGTTAGCGCTGCTTGGTCACTTTCTCCTGTTGGCCCTTCTCCTTTTTTTTTTTTGGTCATTAAAAAATGTATTTATGGGATGCATGTCCGTGTTTTTGAATCAGGAAGAGGATCAACCGCAAGATGGAAAGTCCTGTGGCCACAAGCCTAAGCACTTGGAGCGATATTTGATGCCACCAAAAGTTTCCCATGAAACTTGCTCAACTTTAAGCGGCCTGCTTAAATCCTCGACAGACACGCTGATAAACAAGCAAACTTGTCTAATGTTCCACTTTCCGTTTGCCGGCGCTCCTTATTTTTCTTTCCCAGCCAGTCAGCCACTTTCGCCCAAGGATATGCCAGGATTTAAGCCATGGTGGCATGGTGAGGAAACTCGTTTCGCCATTGACAAATTCCAGAGTTGCAGAATGGCGAGGGGAGTGCCACAGTGAGGAATTGGCAGTAGCAGCCAGTGGCCAAAATGGGGATAAATCAATTGAAAAATATTAATGAATTATTTATGAGATAAGGCAGAGGGCGAATAAAACGAGAAACCAGGAAATAAAACCAAAGCCACGGGAGAATTCCCTCTGGTCAAAAAACCGCAGGAGAAAAAAAAAAACCTCAAAGCAAGAAAAATAAAAAAAAAACCATTGGGAAAAGTATAGAAAAAAACGAAGAAAAAAGCTGCCAGACCAAAAACAAAACCAAACCCCAAAAAAAAAATATAGAAACTGTAGAAAAATTACACTGGAGACTAATAAAACAAGATTATTGCGGTATAACCGCAGACAGTTCGAGGGGTATGAGGCGGCAAGCCTTTCGAACCAGAAACTAGACAATGAGCCAGGCCATAAATCACTTCCAGAAATGCACCAGAAAAAAATCATATGCATTTCAACAAAAATCGACACATAATTATGACATGAAAAATGGCTAAAAGAAGCCAATTGAAAATCAGATCTCTCTGTCTCTTGTAAATATTCAATATTGACCAGGTCCAAATGGGGAAATGAAGCTCATAAGCCGGGAGACCAGAGATGTGTCTGCAATTCAATTTCGTGCGACACGTCCAAGCAAATGCAATGAAATGGACATTCATCCAGGACATCCCCCGGCAGCTCAAGGCAATCAGTTTCCATCACTCAAGGAGATCAACTATGTTGGGGAAATGTAAGCCACATCTCTGGGTGAAATTGTGTGAAATTCCGATAGGTTTCCTCAAATGTCTGTTAAATTGAAAGCAATATTAATGGAAAATTTTTGTCATTGAAATGCAAAATTAATTACTAGAGATTTTGGTTAAGCATTTCTGTATAGATAAGTTTCTTTACTTCTAACATTGATTTTCAAAAGCTCACTAGATAAGTATGTAATAGTAAGTCCTTTGGTTTTTGTTGGTAAATTTATTTATAGAATAGGTAACATAATATGAGAATAAATATACATATTTATTTTTAACTATTAGATAATTAATTTCCAAAATTTCTATGCCTTTGACGCATCTGCTTGTTTACTAAACTTGATAATTTTAATGATTCTGTTTGTCAAAAGCAAACATATGCCATTTGTCAAACGCAGAATTTATTATCCACTTACAATTAAAAGCAGTGTAAAGAATAAAAATAAAATAATAGTTCTGTAATTTGTGAGCTGTAAATAAATAGAAAGCAGTTCAATTAACCACAAATAGCGTGTAACATTACTTACAACTATTGAATGAACAAAAACAAAAAAAAAATGGAAAGCGAAGTAAAAACAAAAACTCATCGCCCGTCAATGAAAATTCCAAACATGAAAATTAATTATTAACAAATTGGTAAGCATGAAACAAATAAATTGCTCATGTGGCTCGTGTTGCTGCTGCCAATGTTGCTGCCAGCTGGCCAGTTTTGTGAGCCCGTTGTGAACAATTTGTGCATTATGCATTAAATGCAATTTGAACTATTAAAAGCATACTTTTAGCACTCACTGTTCTAACTGTTCTTACCCCTCACTATTGAAGGGGCCTAGCAGGAGGATCGGACCAGAGGCCACGGACATTTTAGCTATTTTCCACGCACGTAAACATAATTTGCATTGCTCTGAAATATTATGGCAGCAGCTAAAAGTATGCAATACAGCATTTTGCCCACGTTCTCCTTCTTTCGCCCCTCTCTGCTTTCTCTCCACCATTCCTTTCCACCATTTTGTTGGCTCGCGATTCGCTTCCATAAACGCAGAGAGGCAAAAAGTTGAAGTACCAGAGCAAACAGAAACTTTCTAAAGGATGCTACCAGTGATGTCCTTTGAAATTTGGTACGAATATTTTCATTTTTTTTAGGTATAAAATTAAGATCTTAATATATGCAATTTTAAGAATTATCGGGTCTTTATACAGCATAAATTAAAAGAGTCTCAACAAAACAATATTGGTAGTTTTAAATAAATTATAACATTTAGAAGTTACATTTTAAAACTGGAAAAGACAAGAATCTAGTCTAATAGTGAGTGAGTAATTAAGATAAAAACAGTAGTTCCTAATATAATAATTTAGTTTAACTTAATTAAAATAGTTTTTAAAGCTTTTCTTTATAAAATGTGTCATTTAAAACAACACATTTACTTTTCATTCTTAAGAAATATTCCTTTCTTATAAATGTTTTGTTATCCTTAGTTTTGGCTGTTTTTTTGCCACATTAACCCACTGAAAATGACCGGGGTCAGAGGGCAAAGTGTGCCAGTTCTGCCCGGGCGGAGTGAGTGAAAAAGCAAGAGCACTTACCGTTATAGAATGGCCAGAGTAGCGATTGTTGCATCTGTTGTTGTTGCTGTTGTATTATGCTAACAACTAACGCCATTATTATAATAACTGTTCGCGTCGCCGTCGTTGTTGCTTTTTTTGTAGTTTTTGTTGTTAGTGTACGCCGGCTTGTTGCTTTTTCCGCTGATGTTGCTGTTGCTGCCAATGATGTTGCTGTTATATTTGTTATTGCTGTTGCTAGGACATCGGCGTCGACGTCGTCGTCGGCGCCGCTGCGACGCAAAAATCCGCATAAATTTATATTGCAAATTTGTTTTCCCCAATGTTGCTCCTTCCGTTGCTCCTGCTCCTGCTGCTGCTGCTGCTGCCCCTCCTGCCGATGTTGCTGCCGCTGCTGCTGCTGCTTCTCCTGCTTGTGTTGCTTAACAATAACTATTGCCGCAGGCATCCAGCGAGATTTAATAGTTTTTGCCTGTCGTTGAGTTTTATTTGCCAGTTTTCAGCTGATTTTTCTTGTTGCTGCATTTAAGTGCCGATGTTGCTGCTACCGTTGGCGTTTGGGTTCGCGTTGCTGCCGCTAATGTTACTATTGCTGCAGCAGCATGTCCAGCAGCATAATGCGCCATTTGCTGTATAGCTGTTGCTGCTATTTTGTTATTATTTTATTTTATGCTTACTTAAACTTTTACTTTTTTCCGAGCGATAGCCGAGCGCCAATGAAATATTTGATCTAAACACTGCCAGCAACATTCAGCTTGTTGCCCTAGCCACTTTTGCTCTGGCCGAGCAATATTTTTACTGTCTGCTTGGTTTTATCTCAGCTCTCACTTTTAGTTTTCCTTTTTGTTTTTTAGCCGCCTGATTGAACAAAAAAATAAGCAATGAAGCAATCACTTTCAGAGCCCCGACGGCAACGTGTTTATTTACTGAAGGAAAGGTAAGAGATTTAAAGGGTTCTCCTACATTCGGCTTGAAATATGTAGCCACCTAGAAATTGGGTCTAAAATACCTTTGCACTTCAGTGAACTTTCACTTGTTTTTCCAGTCTATTGAGGTGATAAGGTAATCACTTACAGGTGTAAAATGTACAAATAATCCGGCAGTAATTTATTTGAGTCGAAAAGAAAAAATTTATGTGTTTATTTGGTTTTTTATTTTATGACACAGTTTCTTCTATATAGGCATTATTGTTTTTTATCATGAATACTCCTTATAAGCCATTCACCAAAAAAATGTAATTCATTTTAAGTTACTAAATCTTAATTAAAAGATTCAGAAAACAATTATCCAGTCTTATAAACCTTGCCCTTTAGGAGGTATCCTTTATTTTTTTAGCATCCTGCCTGTTGCTTGCTGGCACGTCAACACCTTTACTTTACTCAACTGTCCGTCTGTCCGCTTGTCCGTTTGTCCGTCTCTCCGAGTGCCAAAGTTTGCAGCTTTCAGTTTTACCATTTTAGCTGCCACTTTCCCTGCACTTCACTTCAGTTCGCTTCACCTGGCAAAAACCATCCCACCCACTGTCTCACGCTTCGACAGTCCATGTATTTTTCTGACGCCCCCGGGTTGGTGTCTTTTGCCGGAGTTTCCCTTTGGCCATCAGTTTACGTGGCCATTTCTATCTCTAACCAAGACCCAGTCCCAGTTCCAGTCAAGCCCCTTCCATTTGACCTCCTCTTGGCCATTTGCTGTTAGTCTAATTTAATTGCATTCGTGGCTCGTTTTGTTACGTATACGCAGCGTAAGCCAGCGGAGGAGTACAAGAGGCCGAGAAGAAATTCCATTGAGGTTGCAGTTTGTTCTGCAACAACGCCCTGACCTGCCTGCCTGCTGGCCTGCCTAGCTGCCTGCCTCATGGTGTCCTTGCTGCTATGCATTGTTTTGTTATCCCTTAATCCTTATCAGTTGCCCAGGCAAAATACAAAACAAAACAGTCACAAAAAATAAACAAATGGCATAAAAAAGAACAACAAAAAAGGCACAAAAAAGCTAAATAAATAAAAAAGGAAAGAAAAGGCAAGAGAGAGGACTGGCTGACCCTGTTTTGTTCACTTTTACTTTTATTCCACTGCAAGGTAAATGATTTATTATCGAATGGCGGCCGAATGGCCCATTCTTTAAACAAACCATTGTAATTAATGATACAGAAAATAAAATTCAACACACAAAACTTGGCCGCAGATTTATTGCCTTGCACTTGAACCGAACAATAAATAAATAGTTCCTGGTGGGTGGGTTATCCTGGCTGAATCCTGAGTCCTGATTAGCCAAGAAGGCTCTTGTAATAGCCAAGAAGGACTTAATGAGAAACTGAGCCACATAGGTGGAACGGAGTTGCCAAAGTGGTACATTTTGGGTACGGAACCCAGTAATAGCTTGTAGTTATAATTAAATTATAACTCCTAATTTAGAAGCAGTTGTAGAAACATAACTTTGAATTATAAACTCAGAAAGCCCCACGCATCCCTATATATAGCTCGGCACGCAAAATCAACTTTAATCAAGCCACTTCACCTGCTCTCTGGCATTTCCCAAAGGAAGCCGCAGTGAACCAATCAATAAAATTCCCTTTAATAATGCCGAAAAGAAGACCCGCCCGGGTAGTCATAAAAAAGCGTTCCAAAAACGATATGAAATATGCTTCATAAAGATTAAAACCTGGTCTTTCTGGCCCCGCCCATTTGCTACCATACCGGTAACAGATGCAACCACATATGGGTAGCAAGAAAAGGGGGTAAGGAGAAAAGGAAGCACGGACTCGGTATATGTGAGTCCTGGTAACATTTTATTATCCTAGAATTCCAGCACAGACCACAAAGTGCGGGCAACAGCTTGGGGAAGCCTTACTGAGGCCATCTATGAGCTTTGCTTTTGCCGTCTTCGGAGTCTTTTGGATGCACTTAAAAAAAAATATATATTATACTTTTAAGATTTTGAAAATATTAAAAAAAAAAATAAATAAAGAAGACATTAAAAAATTTTACTAAAAGTTACTCAAATTTTAAATATGGAACAATTAAAGTACTTACGTATGTATTTAATCCTATTTTGACTTAAAAGTCACAAGTAATTAAAACTTAAGCCTGAAACTGATATTGTTTATGTTTTTCCTTCTGTGTATACAGGACTAGGACTAAGCGGCTTTCCCTCAGGCTCCTCAAAGGAGCCAACATTTGCGGGCCAACAAGGGGTCGCCGGGAGCAAAGGGCAGTCGAAACAGAAGGACACCTAACCCCAGGCCAGGACGTCTGTCAATAAGCCTTATTCTACAAGAATTCATTTGGGTCGGTGCGTGTGTGTTTGGTTTTGGGCTTTTCACAGGCGCGTGTTTATGAATTATTAGCATAAACAATCACACGGACTAGGGATTCAGGACTCGGTACACGGATGAACATGAACACACATATATACGCTCAAGTCCTGTATGAATCCTGATTAAATGTAATGCGCTCAAAGCGCATTCAAAGTTGCCAAACTTGAATTATTGATGGTGCCATTGCTGGACAGCCACGGTCATTAGCCAACTAGCCAAAAAGTGACCACTGCCACCAAGGACAATGGCGTTCATTATTCAGGATATGTCCTTGGGCGGGGGTTAAGCTCTCAATGTGATTAGGTGAACCGAGTCCTGAGCGTTTGTGTGCGTTCTTTACACTCCATTAGAGTTGAAAATTTTCCCCGAAAACTGACTCAAATTTCTTGTCTTAAATTCATGCGGTTTCCTCAGACAACTTAGGGAACTTTTTGGGACCCTAAGGGAAAAACAGCAACGCCCAAAAAAAGCATTTCCCTTTTTACATTATTTATTCGACCCTTGACAGCCTTTTCATATATATTTCATACATTTTTATGCCTTTCCTCACATTGAAGAATTTTAATTTTCAGCCCACCAAGGAGCCGGAACTCCAGGGGTAGAGAAGACCCTAACTCGATTCCGTCGAAGGACGGCCTCGATGTCCTTGCTTGGTTTGATTGATTGGCGGCAGGGAGCGAAACAAACAGAAAGTCCTGCAGCCAACAAGGCAGGTGAATAGTCAGGTGTCAATCGTAAGCCTTGTGACAAAAAACGACAAAAAGAACCAGGGAACAAGTAACACAACTTTTTCCAAGATGTTTTGAAAATGTAAATGAAATTTTTAGGGTGCCTTGATTGGAGTTTTGTGTCTCAGTTGCCATTTTTAATTGGCTTATGAGTCGAAAGCCCTAAAATGCCATTATTTGCCTTGCTGCCTTTATAACTGTCTGTAATTGCAAAAGTGTGTTTAAAATTTCTTCTCAAAAATTGTCTGAGTCTAATTAAAAGAAAATTCCAGGGATTCCCAGCCATTTCAGCCACAAGAGGTGTCCCATTTCAGAGCACATGTAAAATGTTTTAAGGGGCATTCATTGCCCTTTTTTTTTTGGGTTAAAATTTAATTCGTATTTGTGCTGCAACTGGAGTTTTCCTGAACTACTTTCAAAGCCAACTAATCCAGTGGAAAAACAAAAGCGCGAACCACTTTATGTCAGTGGGTCTGTAATGTTAGAGCTTTCTCTTAACCCATTCCGGCGGGTGGGCATGCTGGCTGCCGCCTCTTAACCCATCCATGCACCCACAACTTCCACTTAAAACCAAACAAACCAGAACATAGCGCACCCGAGCACTTGCCTGTGTGCTTTTTACATACAACATGGCCAAAAGCGTCGGCATTAAAGCCATCAACGCGACTGCGATTGCATGTATGGGCCACATTTTGGCCTAGTCCTAGGCCTAGGACATAGAGCTACACAGGAAAAATGGGAAAAGGGTATTACATTTCAGCAGAAAATTGTGGAATTAAACAAGTGAACTTTAAAGACTTTTCTATTTTATATCATTCTTGATTAATTTTTATTTATACACATTTTGTGCAATTTAATCTACTTTGAATTAAAAAAAGAATGCCAGACTTCAGACGATAAAATTGTTATTTGATATCATTTGGTTTCTGCTGCTTTTTTTTTCCTACGAGAGCCTGCGATAAAGTGTCGGGAAAATTGCTTGACGATTTTCGCGTCATTTTTCTGGCCTCACTTAGGACATAAAAATGAGAGGAGAGGTAGAGTCTAATACCACGTTCCCCTTAGCCCCTAAGCTATGTGCCCCGTGCTCCTGGCCGTGATCACCCACGCCTCACTGAGCATAAATCACACGAAAGTAGGAAATAAATGTTCAATGTTTGTTTGTCTGAAGGCTCGCCACATTTGGTTGCATAAATGTACACATATATATACTTTCAGGGTTAGGCGCTCAGAGTATAAAATTTGTATTTGGGGGATTGCAATTGACAGTTTATTTATTCATTTTGACAGTTTTATGGACACGCACGCACAATTCACCGATTGGGGGACTTAATTTCATGGTTAATCCGTTACAAATGTCAACTGTCAATTGGTTTGTTATTGGGATAGGTTCTTCCAAATCCAAAGATTATCCCAACCAAAAAAGGCAGGAACAAAATCACTAATTGCACTTGCATGTATAATAATTAAATATTCAAAATCAATGCGTAAATTTGTCAATTATATGCGGCTGACATTTGACATTAGTTCATTATTGTTTGGTTATTGTTGTTTGTTGGTTGTTCATTTTCCATTGTTGTTGTTGTTGTGTTCCTATTATTGTTTTTGTTTTAGCTGTTTTTGTTGCTGCCGCTGTTGTTGTTATTGTTGTGTTTTCCTGTTTGCTGATTGACAATGACAGGCAATGTCGCCTGCTGTTGATTGGGAAAATGGCACAGGGAGCGGGAAATGTTGTTTGAAATGTTCACACACACCACACAATTACACATGCAACACACACTATCACACACACACACACATACAATTGATGACAATCGACACTGTTCATGAATA